AGGTAAAAGGAGGGGGAGAGATTGGGTTTATACCCCACCCTTCACTACCCAAGGGAGTCTCAGAGCGGCTCACAAACTCCTTTCCCTTCCCCTCCCCACAACAGACACCCTGTGAGGTAAAAGAAGAAGAAGAGATTGGATGTATCCCCTGCCCTTCACTACCCAAGGGAGTCTCAGAGCGGCTCACAAACTCCTTTCCCTTCCCCTCCCCACAACAGACACCCTGTGAGGTAGGTGGGGCTGAGAAGAGCTTTTTCAAGGACTGCTCTTGAGAGAACAGCTCTGAAAGAACTGTGACTGACCCAAGATCACTCCAGCAGCTGCATATGGAGGAGTGGGGAATCAAACCCGGTTCTCCTAGTTTAGAGTCCGTGCTCCAAACTGGCTCTCTAGCCCCTGTAACAATCCTGAGAGTAGAGAAATTTCAGGCTGGAAATCTGCAGTATATTCAAACCCCCTCCTAAGAAATCCTCCAGAAATGAGGAGCCCATCAGAGTATGTTCCCCCCCCCCCTGTCGGACAACACATGATAACGTGCAGACTCTACATTATAGGAAAGATTGGCTTTTATGAATTCCTCCATCAGTTCATAAAATCTGCATTTTCCGGTACTTGATAAATGGTGGACGTGCTGCAGATTTAGGACACGCTCTATCAACCCAAGCTGTGCCTCAGACTCTCTCTTGGCATGCCTTTGCAGTCTGCCCTGCACTCAAGGGCACTGCGGCCGTGCACAGAATACAAAACCGACCCTTCTCTTCGCGGAATTACTCAAAGTTATGAGCGGTGCAGACATTTGACATGTCCTGCAAATGAGGCCAGATCTCTGGACGATGAGAACTCAACAACGGCAATCTATCTTTGCGGTAGGACAATGAAATGACAGCGCAAAACGAGTTTGATTTCATTCACCCCACGCGTATCTTTGCAGGATCCAGAAAGGAAAAGGAAATGAGCCCTGAAATGGAAACAGTAATAGTACCTTATGAAAATATCAATAGTAGTAATAATGGCATGGGAGGGGGGAGAGAAGCAAAGGAAACGGAGCACTTAATGATGAGCTTGAATAACCTCTGCAGATAATGAGATCTCACAAGAGGGAAATGATGCAGCCTAACTCCTGAACTTCAATTGTCTTTGGGCTGGGTGCGATCGCTGCTGTGTATTGGGATAACAAGAGCCATAGACATTTGGGTGTTTGAGACATCAGGAAAGAGATGGTCTCTTAATGCAAAAGAACCATGGAGAAGCCACTGGTGGGTAACTGATCTGTTTTCACAATGGGAATTAGATGGCCTGCTGATGTATTCCATCTCTAAGCTTCTGTGGAAAGAAATTCAAGGGGGACGCATTGAGTCATCTCTCAATGGTGTCTTTGGCCATGCACATGCCCTTGAGTGTATTGGGTTATGTTGGTGTGAACATGCAATTCATGTTACCATTTCTCCATCTCTACATGAGAGTTCTCGATCATCTGCCAGTTTTTCTCATATCTCGCTTGCTAATCTCTAGCGAGGATATCATTGTTCGTTTGGATATATCTTCTCACAGGATTATGCATCTTTGTTGCAGCTGCCACCCCTGCCACTCATCTGCCCTGGCTTCCACATCCAATCATTAACATGCACAATTAAAACCTTCTGATGGTCCCTTCTTCCTCCAGTCTTGGTATTGCATCTTGGACGATGATGACTTTTCCCCCTTAACTTTGGCAGTTCTTAAACCCACCTTAGCTTCTCGTTACTTTTCTGGAAAAAAAAATCTCCTCTAGCTTTACATGGCCCCAATGTGTGGATTTTTAAATCTGCACGCTAGGGCCATGTTCAATATTAGATCTGCAGAGGAATCATGAGAATACTCTGCCGATGTTGTATTTACGTATTTCAATATGTCTTCCCCCCCTCTACTATTCATTGATAGGATTCATTTTGTTTTGTTTTCTAACTGTAACATTTTACTTCAGCCCTTTTCACATTACCGTTCTAAACCTGATGTTATTTGCTGTTGGCCCGATTTTGAGTCAAGTGATTCAGGGACGGGTGTGTGTGTGTGTTCATACAGCAAAATCTGTCTGTTAATGAGCTGTCTCTAAAGCGCTATGGTCATTTCAAACAGTGCTGCTTTCCCCCCACCCTTTTTTGGCACACAATCTTTCTCTGACTTTTACGTTCTAAGGTGATTGCTATAGCACTAAACTGCTACAGCACTGAAGTGCTATAGCAGTTTAGTGCTATAGCACTCACCTTAGACTGTTACAAAAAAATCTGAGGAAGATCATGTGGTGAAAAAGGGCAGGGAGAGTGTGGGAAGCACTATGGATATTTTAAACAGCACACCTCAGCAATGCTCCCTCTAAGCTGTGGAGTCTTGTGAGCAAAAATTCTACTTTGTGACCAGTGGCATTAAAGTTGTGAGTGAGGGATCTGGCTACTGCATAAATTAGTCATCCTTCCTGAGCTAAGACAAAAATGTGTGGGCCGGAAGCTACAAAACTGTGAGCTAGCTCACACTAACTCATCTTAGAGGGAACACTGTACCTCAGTGATTCAGAAGCGCAACGAAAAGGTTGAAAATGAGAAAAAGCAGTTTCCCTCAAAAGCAGCTCAACCACGCTTTGCTAACCCAATGCAAGCGGGTTTGTATAAACAGATAAATAGATTCAGCTAGCAGGCAGTTACTAAAATGGGTCTGTCTGAAATGACAGGGAAAAAAAACATTAGCAACCAGTTAGTAAAACGGAATAAAAAGGCAGTTTGAAAAGGGTCTTCATCTCTGCAGGTAAAATACTAATAGATTGATAGCTGGACAGGGATGTGGGCTTTCTATTCTTATACCAACAGGCACAGCCAGAGAGAACTGTCAGTTTGCCACGCTTGAAAAGCCGAAAGGCGATTAGAAATATCTTTCCGCTGCATTACAGCGTAAAGTCTGTCTCATCGGCTGTTGCATTCCCAGTTCTTAAAGGGTACCTCTGTCATGCCCTAGTTTTGGAGATCTCTACCGATTTGTACAATTGTTCAAAATGTCATCGCGAGATAAAAGTCAATGTGGCAGGGAATGTTGTCCTGTTCGGGAAATGGAAAGCTAGAGATTCTACCTCAGAAGAGACCTACTTCTGAGGAAATACTTCCTAGCAACCACCTTCAGCATCCACCTGGAAGCTGATCTAATTGCAAACAGGTGCCATTCCCAGCCAGTCGAAACGGCAACCTGGAGGGCCCAACCACTGTGTAAATTTCCTTTCAAGCAGCTGCTCAATCCCGCCATTTTGCACAATGAACCCTTTTGTCCCAGATGGGGTTTTTTTTTGAGCATCCCGGGCCAAAACAGAGGCAATGAGGGAGAACTCAAAAGGCAATAAAAATAAATGGCATGCAAAAATGGAACTCTGGTGGAGACAGACTTTGTGATCCTATGACCCTCTCTGGATTTTGGAATGCAAATGTCTTTTCAGGCATAAGTAAAGTTAGCTGTATTCGGCAATACCTGAATCGGTTATATGTGCATATTGACCAGGGGTCATTTCCTGCCGGAGTGCCCCGGAGCGGCGCTCTGGCAGTAAGGAGCCCAGGCCCCGCCCCCCACCTGCGAGAGACTCAGGGAGGGGGGATTTAATTGCCTGGGTTCCCTGCCCGATCTTCTCCAGGTGCCCCGCAGCCATGGCGGGTTAGCTGGAGACGGGAAGGGCAGAGAGGCAGACATGCCTGCCTTTCCCCCTGAGCCTCTCCGCTCTTGGAGGATTAGCTACATTAGGGGTGTGTCACCTAATATGCAAAGGAGTTCCTGCTGCAAAAAGAGCTCTGGTTACTATTTTAATTCCGTATGACTCACATCTGCATTTGTAAGCATGAGCTCCTGCAGCACTTTTTCTACGAAATGACCCCTGATATCGACTGTGTCACTGGATGGACATGTTCACAAAAAGATTTGACTGCATAGCTCAAATAAACATGCCTTTAAATTAAATATGACTATAGCCTTCTTTTGCTCTGCAGACCATATGCACATGCCTCTGTGCATTCGCCGTCACAGTTTTTTTCCCCCTCTGCACAGCTTCTCTCCTCTCTTGGTCCCCTTTTCCTAGCCTCTCTGCCTCCCTTGGTGGTGGTGGAAAGTACCATCAAGTTGCAGCTGACTTTTGGCCACCCCGCAGAGTTTTCAAGGCAAGAGACGTTCAGAGGTGGTTTGCCATTGCCTGCCTTTGCGTCACGAGCCTGGATTTCCCTGGTGCTTGCCTACCCAAATACTAGCCAAGATGCATCCTGCTTATCTTCTGAGATCTGACCAGATCAGGCTACTTAGGGCTCTAACCACTACACCAAACTGGCTGTGATATATTCCACTTGTCTAAGCTGCAGGCTTCTTTTCTAGCCCTTTTCTTCCTCGACTGTCACCTTCTTTTGCCTCTCTGCACACCATGAACATTTGTTAAAAAAAAAAAAGTATGTACAAAGTTGTACAAAGCTAAAGCAACATAAAGGTTGGTGTGTAGCATTACGGTTCGGCAGACCTGAGTTCAAATCCCTGTACTGAGATAAAGCTCACTGGGTGATCTTGGGACAATTTCTATTTCTCGGCCTCACCCGCCTTACAGGGCTGCTGTGGTGATCTGAGCAATGTTCACAAGAGACCACTAGCATGGCAGCAGCTCAGCCAACAGCAGCCAGAGAGTTCTCTGCCTGCCTTCTGTGACATCAGGGAAGCTCAGCCAATCACCAGCGGATACCTCGTTACCACCAGCACATGAAATCCCTCGGCACTATATGATATAGGGAGAAATGAAATCAGCGGGGGGGGGGGATATAGGTAAAGGTGCAGTATAGGTGAAACGAATGCCACGATAGGGCTGGTACATAATGCCAGGCTACCCATTTGACCATCCATTTCTTAAACTTCACCCCGGCACCCCTCCTCGGCCTACAGATTCACCTCATCAAAGTCGGCAATGATTTCATTCAGCAGACGCAGGCACTCGACTCCTTGGTTGTTCATTTCTGTCTGGGAGTAGAAGTCGGCAAAGCCGGGGATGGAGGCAAACATGACGCCCACTGCATCGTAGGACTGGGAGTAGAGATCCTAGGGCCACGGGAAATAAAATAAGAAATGGAATTAGGTGGTGGAAAAAAGAGGTAATAAGTTATGGTGGAAGTTCATCTCCTGGCTTGGACCAGCACAGAGAGCCAACTGAACTGCAGAGAACAGAGGTAGCAACTCCTTCGAGCATATCTGTGTGCATGGATAATCAATATGTGTGCATGGATAATCAATGGTGTCTGCAGTCTGCAGAGAACTTCACATCCATGGTTCTTTACAACAGCTCTGTCAGGGAGGCTAATACTAAACGTCAAACTGGTTGCGCTAAAGAGCAACTAGCCAACCACTCCCTTCTTTAGCATGTTACCCTGATGGTATCCCATGTGGTCCAGAGTTGGCTCCTTTGGCATAAGACCCTTATTTCCTTATGTACTGTGCAGCTGATCTCAGTCACATGTTCTTTCTTGAGATCCTGACCATCCCGCCATGAGATCAGGGCAAAAACACTACTCACTTCGTTATCACGGTCCTTTTCCAGGAAGTGACGGGCGACGTGACTCGGCAGGATATTGCGCAGCATGTTCTCGTTGTGCTCGCGCAGCTCCTTCATCTCGTTGATTTCTTCTTTGGCCTGGCCACGCCAGAGGAAGTCGAGCCGCGCTGTGTACTCAAGCTGCAGCGATGAGGGAAAGGGAAATCAAAGTGTTAAAGCTGTTTGATTGGGGGTGGGGTGGGGTCAGCCACCTTTTATCATTTGAGGGCCAAATGGCACCAACATTCGGATCAAGAGATGAACAAAGAGCCATCTAAGTAAGCCCATTAGCATAGCTGAGAACCTACGACTTAACATTACCAATCACTGACTTGTCGGTCAATAGCCCCTTAAGTTTGTGCAGCTCAAACACTGGTGGCTGTGAATCCTATGAAGAAGTGGCACACGTGGTTTCTCACAATACAGAATACACAAAGGAAGAGCCAGGGCAACTGTTTGAGTCGACTGGCATAGATCTGCACATGGCTTACACATGGATGATTGGGAGCTGTTCAGCTCTGTCATGTCCCTTGGCGTAAGGCATCTCTAGGAAGCCACTCAGTCCCATATAAATCTTTGTTGGCCATTCCTTTCACTTATTGCTTATTTTAGCATCCCACCTAGTGCTTTAGTATACTTAACTTTAAAACATTTGTTTTCCTTTTAAAGGAGCCACCTTTGGCCCTAGAGCCATAGCTTGAGACCTGTCTTCAATAATGGATTTTTCTGGAAGCAAATCAACCACACCTAGGTGCTTGTTTTGCAAGCACTCCTGAACTGTGTTCCTTAGGGCTGCCAGATGAAAACCGGGGGGTGGTGGGAAACAGCATTACACGACACTCTAGGAAGTTCCCTAACATCTATGGCTTTTACCATAGAGATTGGGGAAATTCCTAGAGTATCTCATGACAGCGTGACATCATTTCCAGGTACTCGCTCAGAAGTGATGTCACGGTGTTGTGAGACATTGTTCCCCTCTCCCTCAGTTCCCCATCAGCGGGCAGCCTGGTGAGTCTAGTGATGCTCAATAAGCTGAATGACTGTAGGTGGGCATTCATTTTAAGTGTAATTCACTTGTCACAGAATATTGGACTGGTGGTCCATCTACTTCAGATCTGGTTTCCTGCAGTGGTAAAGCAGTGCCCTAGAAGGCAAGGGCTTCCTCCTTTTATTGCCCGTCCCATCAACTGATGTAAAGAAATAGCCTGCTTCTGAACATGGAGGTTCCATGTAGGCTATTAGCCATCAATGGATCTTTCTTCCATGTATTTGCCCAATACCCTTTCAAAAGCTTCTAGTCTAGTGGCCAACACTACATCCCATGGCAGTATATTCCACAAGTTAAAGGGGGCATAAGAGATGTAAACTGGTATTGAAACTAAGATCAGAAGGGAGAACTTCAATCTTTAACCATAGGTAAACCCCTTTGGAGTAAGTTCGGTGTAGTGATTAAGAATGGCGGACTCTAATCTGGACAACTAGATTTGATTCCCCACTCCTCCACTTGCAGCCAGCCGGGTGACTTTGGGTGAGACACAGTTCTCTCAAAGCTGTTCTCTCAAGAGCAGCTCTCTCAGAGCTCTCTCAGCCCCACCTACCTCACCGGGTGCCTGCTGTGGGCAGAGGAAGGGAAGGCGATTGTAAGCCACTCTGAGACTCCTTCAGGTAGTGAAAATCGGGGTATAAAAACTAACTCTTCTTCTTCACGGGTGGTCTTGTTGGATGAGTCTGTGAGACACTGGCCACTGAGGGCTAGGAAGTTGCCCAGAGGCATTGCAACCCATTGGTCTTCAGCTGCATGTTCGCACGTTGCTAAGGTCACAACAGTAGCGAAGCTTGCTCTACAAGTCTTATGTCTGTCTTTTGGAGAGGCAAGTGGAGGGAAGGAAAATATTAGACGGAAAGAACAAGAGAATGGGCGAGAGGAGAAATAAATGAACAACCTTAGGGCCAGGCCAACTTTTGCCAACTTTCAGCAGGGAATCTCCATGTGGTCCAGGCCTTCCTTCCATCTTTGTGTCCATGCTGGGGAGAGCGACAGTAAACAGCTCCATCCATCTTTCACCTCACGGCTCCTGAAAACTGCCCAGAGTGCTAAGGGGTGGGATATTCCTTGCTGAGGGAGCATTTTTAAGGTTTCCATGACTGAGGACTGGAACCATCTGTTTCTTTACCTTTCCTTTCACCTCTGATGTTGGAACACATCCAGTGTCTTGTGGCCATTTTGGGCGGGAATGCGTTTTACACAAAGCGCCAGCTGCGCTACATCAGAATCTTTTTCGATCGCGAGAAACAGCTAAATCAGCTCCCAAGGATAAGTGCTCTTTCTCCGGAGGAAGGAAGTTTGAACAACTCGAGATGCTTTAAGAGGCTCCAGGTGAGATTTCTCTGGCTGAGGAAAGCCTCCCTCTGCTGTTTCAACTCAAATGTTGACAGAGAAGATCAGAACGCAAGTGGGGCGTCTTTGGGATCACAACTGAAGCTGGTCATCGGGAAGAGCTTATTTTCTCAGGGGCACAAAGCGTGCGCAGGGAGCATTTGAGAGAAGTTCTTTCCGGTATCGAGGGTTTCCAGCTCTGAGTTGGAAAATATCTGGAGGTTCTGGGGGTGGACTCTGAGGAGGGCGGGGTTTGGGGAGGGGAGGGGAGAGACGTCAGCAGGGTAAGCCAGTCGAGTCCGACTCTAGGGTTGCGGTGCTCATCTCCATTTCAAAGCCGAAGAGCCAGCGCTGTCCGAAGACGTTTCCGTGGTCATGTGGCCGGCATGACTAAACACCAAGGCACACGGAACGCTGTTACCTTCCTACCGAAGTGGTACCTATTTATCTACTCGCAATTTCTTGCTTTCTAACTGCTAGGTTGGCAGGAGCTGGAACTAGAGACGGGAGCTCACTCCGTCATGCGGCAACCCGGGTCTCGAACTGCTGAACTACCGACCTTCCACAGCCTGCAGTTCAGCGTCTTAACCACTTGAGCCACCGCAGCTCCTATCTATCATCTGACTATCCATCTAATCTATCTGTCTATCTCTCATCTCTCTCTCTATCATCTATCAACAACCCTACTTATCATTTATCTGTCTGTCTGTCTATTTATCATCTACCTACCTACCTATCATCTATCTGTCTAATCTATCTATCTGTATGTCTATTGATCTGTCTGTCTAATCTGTCTATCTCCCGCTCCCCCCCCCCATAGTAAGGACTGAAAGTGGCTTAGAACTTCATTCTCCCCTCCTCCATTTCCCACAACAAGAACCCTGTGAGGTAGACCAGGTTGAGAGTTTGTGACGAGCCCAAGGTCACCCAGCAACCTTCCATAGTAGGAGTGGGGATTTGAACCTGGGTTGGCCAGGTTCCCAGTCCACCACTGTCACCGCTACACCACACTGGCTGTGTTCGCACCATGGAGCTAAAAGGAATGTGGAAGAATTGCTTTGTTCCCTCCAGTACCCTACCTCCAGTACCCATCAGGAAAGGGGAGACCCCTCATAGGTCTCTGTGACATAACAAGGGCCTGGGGGGCAATCGAGGGGTGACATGATAGAGGTTTACAAAATTATGCATGGGATAGAGAAGGTAGAGAAAGAAGTACTTTTCTCCCTTCCTCACAATACAAGAACTCGTGGGCACTCCATGAAATTAAAGAGCAGTAGACTTAGAGCAGATAAAAGGAAGTCCTTCTTCACCCAAAGAGTCATTAACAGGTGGAATTCACTGCCGCAGGAAGTGGTGGAGGCTACAAGCATAGACAGCTTCAACAGGGGATTGGATAATTATATGGAGCAGAAGTCCATCAAGAGGTCCATCAATGGCCAAAGCAGACATTTTGTGGCTATTACTTTATTGATTTATTTATTGGGATTTTTACCCCGCCCTCCCCACAAAGCGGGCTCAGGGCGGCTTACAAGGGGCAACGTCCATATAAAACAAGGTAAAGACAATAAAAACATTAATAACAATTAATCACAACAATAATTAGCCACAAGAGATAGATGGAACACTATGTCTGAGGAAGTGATGCTCTGTATTCTTGGGGCTTGGGGGCCAACTATGGGAGGGGTCCTGGAGTTCTGGCCCCGCTGGTGGACCTCCTGATGGCACCTGAGTTTTGGCCATTGTGTGACACAGAGTGTTGGACCGGATGGGTCGGATCCAACATGGCTTCTCTTCTGTTCTTGTGATCGCCCGTGTCCATTTCCCATTTCCTGTTGCCACTGAGTGTGCTAAAAGGAGGGTAGAACACTCATGTTTCACAGATGCCCTGTTGTTCTAATATTATATGACAGGCAGAGGAAAAAGCTCTGTCTACTTTCTCTATGCTCTGCGGAATTTTATAAAAGCTCTATCATGTCTTCCCTACCTTAGGCAACTTTTTTGTCGTGTCATACCTGCTTTTGTTTCCATCGTAGCTCACTTATCTTTTAGCATGAAAAGAAAACCTTATTATACCCTTTGGATTTCTTTCTTTCTTTCTTTCTTTCTTTCTTTCTTTCTTTCTTTCTTTCTTTCTTTCTTTCTTTCTTTCTTTCTTTCTTGGTTTATTTTTAACACGGTTTTAACGTATCTCTAAAAGCTAAAGTGCAGAGTAACGACTTTAAGAGAATATCGCATCCAGACTCAGGAATCATTGCTTTCATATTACATGAAATCCCTGCCTTAGAAGTTTATGATTGATCCTTAATGCCAAAGATAAGTAATTAAGCTCCCACTTGCCCTTAATTTGGGGCTTCGTAGAACACATCCTCTAGACATATCGACTGCAGCAGACATAAATCCCGGAGAAAGTGAGCCAACTGTCTTGGCCAGTTCAGGTTTTACCAAGACAAATTGAGTTATAAAGGAGGACTTGGCTAGCATTAGCGTTGCACATTATCTCAGAATTTATTGGAACCCATAAAGACTTTGCTAGCAGACCCTGCTTTCGGGAAGGGGAGTCTCTGATGTTTGCTTCATGTAGATCCTTATCACAAATCGTAGGGGTTGATTCTCCAGCAATGTTTTGTGGCACAAAGCATAGTCTGAAGGCACAGGAGCCACTTCAGCCAATGAAAGACCAGGTGATCTGCTCCTCAGAAGGACTCGGACGGTATATCATTTGGGAGTCTTTTGTAAATCAGGCCGAGGGGTAACCTACATGGAACAAGAGAATCCACATGGACTCATGTGTCCTCCACTAGATGTGTAAAATAGGGGGGATGTGTGTGTCTGTTTTTGCTGTCAAGTCATAGTTGACTCATGGCGGCCCCGTAGGGTTTTCAAGGCAAGAGACATTTGGTGGTGGTTTGCCATTGCCTGGCTCTGCATTACAGCCCTGGTATTCCTTGGAGGTCTCCCATCCAAATACTAGCCAGGGCTGACCCTGCTTCTCTTCCAAGATCTAATGAGATTGGGCTAGCCTGGGCTATCCATGTCATGGTGTGCATGTGTGTGTGTGTGGTTGTGTGTGTATGGGTGTGGATGGGTGTATTTTTAAGTATAGCTGTACATCCACTGGCTGGATTCATGTCCCATTCACCAGTCATGAAAAGGGAGCAGACTTTTTTTATAGCCTGTTAATCTGCTCTTTGACTTGTTCATGGATGTTCAATAGGTTGTTTCCACTATTCCTTCCCAATCACACAATACAGCCCTGACCTGGATAGCCTAGGATATCCTCATCAGATCTCGGAAGCCAAGTAGGGTTGGCCCTGGCTAGTATTTTGGATGGGCGACCTCCAAGGAATACCAGGGTCATGATGCAGAGACAGGCCATGGCAAACCACCTCTGAAACGTCTCCTGCCTTAAAAGCGAGTCTAGCTCGCCACCTAGTGGTGCCTAATGCTTAAAAGAGCTAGAACTTCTGGCTGCCAGACAATCTTATGATCTCCTGGCTATACTACACACACTACTATACAATAATTAATTAATTATTAACACAATATAGTGCATATGTATTCTGTCACCACTTGATGGAGTTTGCCTCCCCCCATTTTAGCTGTGCCACTGCTGTGCTCAGCAAGCAATATATATATACTACGAGTAAGGCCCGTTGTGGGAAGAAATACAACAAATTCTAGAAGGAAGCTCCAGGTGAGTGTCCCGGCTGTAGCTGGTGGGGCGGCAGCGGGAAGGGGAAAATAGAGGGAGGCAAGCCATGTTTCTTTTCTTCTGCTTAGCTATAAGGCAGGGCTGTCTCAAGTCATTTTGCTGCCCCAAGTGGGTAGTATGGGAAGACAGCCTCATGGTCCTCCTATGCCATGTCTTCTGAGTTCCAAGGGTCTGGAAAGCAGTTCCATAGTCACTTACAGGGTTGCCAACTCTGGGCTGGGAAATACCTGTATATTTGAGGGGTAGAGCCTGGGGAGGGCAGGGTTTGGGGTGCGGAGGGACCTCAGCAGGGTATAATGCCATAGAGTCCATTGCCTAAAGCAGCCATTTTCTCCAGGAGAACTGATCTTGGAGATCTCCAGGTGCTGCCTGGTGGCTGGCAATACTAAGGGGAGGGCCAGACCTGTAGATTTGAGGGGTAGAGCCTGGGGAGGGCAGGGTTTGGGGTGCAGAGGGACTTCAGCAGGGTATAATGCCATATAGTCCACTGCCCAAAGCAGACATTGTAATAGCTGGGGAATTTTCTGAAGGGGAAATGATGTGCTGTGGCTGGGGAACATGGTAATTTCTGGGAGATCTCCAGGCCCCGCAGGGAGATCAGCAACTCCAGTGACTGTTTAATGGAAAACTGGGATATGTATTTTACCTCAGGACACATTCAATGACTCCCAACAGCAACAACAAACTGTTTAGAATGTTAGAGGCAAAGGCCAATCAGGCCACAAATGCAAATGACCTCTGTGTTCCAACTGGCTATTGGGGGGAGAGGAACAGCAAACTGTTTAGAATATTGGATGCGAGGCTCAGGCAAGGCAGGCAATGGATAGGGACAGCTTCTGTGAGTGACAGATCAGGGAGTCAACTGATTTGGGAGCATGTGGACTGTTCAGGAGAGTCCATGACCAAACCAGAATTATTATATACAAACATACACATTCAAAACCCAAGTTTTGGGCAGTCCAGCAATACTGAAGTGCAAATGGGAAGATAAAAAAAAATAGGCTGTTTTAGTTCAGTCCACAGCAGAAGATCTGTAAAAATGCACTACTGACCATGGAAGACAAAACAGATTTCTTTTAGGAAGAAGTCTCTTCTTGGCACCCTTCCAGGTGACCAAGTGTCTCTTCTTGGCACCCTTCCATTTGGCAGCCTTCCATTTGGAGGCCGTAGTTGGTTGGTTAAATCAGAGCCTGTTTTGTTGTTATATTTACTGTAAATTTTCAAAAGAAAGAACTGATATATATAAAAAGACCCAGAGCCAGCTGAAAAGAAATCCATCGAAGGCGGCAGTCCTCTCCCTGGACTGGGGAGATGCGGGATTGGGATGCTAATTCCTGGATCTTGACGGTGTGCCATTAATATCTGGATCGACTGTCAGAAGCCTGGGTGTGATCCTGGATGCCTCCTTGTCAATTTAGGGCCAGGTCACAAATGTACTTAAGCTAGCATTCTATCACCAGCGTCAGGTCAAACGGTTGGTTCCCTTCCTGTCTCCCCCTGACCTAGCCACAGTGATCCAGACAAGGGCCTGGTGGAACAGGTCTGTTTTACAGGCCCTGTGGAACTGTAACAGGTCCCACAGGGCCCTGATCTCGAATGGGAGTGTGTTCCACCAGGCCGGGGCAAGGATGCATACGCCCTGTCCCTGTCCGAGGCTAAACAGACATCCTTCTAGCCTACATCTACAGGCCACCTTAAAGTGCAATAGTGTCAGGCCTCTGGGTCACTCCTAGAGGAGACCAGGAAGGCACTCGTGCTGACATAGATTGTGATGCATGGCAAATGTGGAAAAAGTCTGTTTGCCTTACCTGTTGGCCATGATAAAACACAGCGAGCAGAAACATGGCCATTAGAAGCAAGGAGGCTTCCTTTGTCCCCAGGAAATCTGTGCTGGAAAAATCCAAAAGGGATAGAAGGGGGTTAAATAAAACGTGATTGTTAAACTTTCCATGTTAATTGCGACATAAGAGATCTGAGTCAACCAAACAAAGGGAAGTGGCTTTTGATTCACTGAAAAAGAGTCTCTTACAAACAGTTTTCAAATGAATGACAGTGCTTCCTCCAAAATGACACTTCGAACAATAGAGACCCAGACATGTGCGTCAATGTTTTAAAATGTTTTCACAGCAGAAGCTCTTTGTCAGGGAGATGTCCTATGATATGGCATAAGAAATCCTCTCCCTCGGTACGAGTCCACCTGCTGCACTTCTTCAAGAGTCACTGTTTTGCTTGCCCCTGGGCTTAGAAGGGTCTAACCTGGACTCAACTGTGCAACTGAACATCAACAACAACAAAACTCCATGCAGAATGGCACTGTTAGCTAAGTGGACCATTGCCAGGATGAATTTACTGAGCCACAGCTCCTTATCTGAAGTTCTCTCTATGGTCAACAGTATTGGGGACCCCAAAGTGGCTTCCATCATTCTCCTCTCCTCCATTTTATCCTCACAACAACCCTGTGAGGCAGGTTAGGCTGAGAGTGCGACTGGCCCAAGGTCACCCAGCAGGCTTCTATAGCACGAGTGGGGATTCGAATCTGGGCCTCCCAGGTACTAGTCTGACACTCTTAACCACCACACCGCATTGGCATAGCACTGAGAGAGGAAGTAGGTGAATTATCGATGGAAGCTAGGGCTTGGATTAAAGCATTTTTCTTTAAAGTAAAGATTTTAAAATCTGAGGGAGGATCTACTCTACTTGGGCTTATCCAGGCAGATACACATTACAGCCAATGGGATCAACTATTGGAAAAGAAAATGAAATGCCTAGGAATAACAAATGATATGATTAAAAATACAGAAACTAAAGACATTAGAAGACAAATTTTAAAAATCTGTAAGGAAATTGGATGTTACAAGTGCGTCTATTAGGGCGCACAGGGTATGTTCGACACTTCATTTGGGAATTGCCCTCCCGATAAAACTGCCAAAATAATGTTCTCAATTGACAGTCCCAGAACTAAGAAGAGCTTTTACTTTGGCAAGACTGAACATTCTTCCCTCAGCAGTTTTGGAGGGCAGATATAACAAAGCATCATACTCTAACAGAACATGCAGATGCTCCTGTCATACAATGGTCGAAACCATTGAACATATGACGACGGAGTGCCCTCTATTCGATGAGCTGAGGGCTAATTTAATCACCCCTTTACTTAAAGCTATGGAATGGCTAAATGGGCGAGCCCAGGTGTCGTGGCTACGATCGGACATCCATGATCGTGTTACCCTCTCAGTGGCAAAATTCATAGGCGCAATAATCAAATATAAGAGATGTAATACTGAGTAAGGTCTTTTAAAATATTGTCTTTGGTTCTAATTTCTGCTTAAAGTGAGCTGTATGAGCAGTACTAGATAGATAGATGATAGATAGATAGATAGATAGATAGATAGATAGATAGATAGATAGATAGATGATAGATAGATAGAGATAGACAGACAGACAGACAGATAGAAAGATAGATAGATGACAGATAGATGATAGATGACAGATGATAGATAGATAGATAGATGATAGATGATAGATAAATAGATAGAAGATAGATAGATGATAGATAGATAGAGGATAGATAGATAGATAGATGATAGAAGATAGATGATAGATAGATAGATGATAGATAGATAGATGATAGATAGATGAAAGATAGATAGAAGATCGATAGATGAAAGATAGATAGATAGATAGATAGATAGATGATAAAGGACAACCTTCAAAGGGGGGGGGGGGAATGTGGCAATAGACAAGACACACACTACACAAGACAAACCCAGTTAAGTGTGCAAAAAGTGGAAAATTAGAATACACTTCGGCCAGAGCAGAGGAAGGAGGTTTCACAACACTCATATGCTGATACTCCTCTTCATCATCCCGACATAACCTACTGAGACTTTTGTCACAACCACTCGCTTTCAACTCAACTTCCCTTGAGACCTGTTCTATAACAGGGTGGACAGTGCGACCATGACCACATTGAATGACAGGGACGTCCAACATAAAGTGACTTTGCAGACTGCCCAGTTCTAGAAATTACTCCACAGAGTCCTGTGTGCTCCATTTTTTCGCACATATTGTGCAACCTTTGACAAGAGAGAGAGAGAGAGAGAGAGAGAGAGAGAGAGAGAGAGAGAGAGAGAGAGACTGTATTCTTTCTGTAGGGAGAAAAATAGTTTCTCAGAAGCTTTGCATCATTTGCCCAGATCCGTTCTCCACATCTGTGCCACTGACCCTCCTACCTAGCCAAGAGTCACTGGAGAACCAGCCTGTAATAACCGCCAAAGATTGACACATCAAACCTGCCGTCATGTCACTTTTCCTATTTGGGGCTCCGTAATAAGGCTGCTTTCTCTCATTGAGGCTTTGCACTTGGCGGTGATGAGATATTTCCAGTACTGCTACAGAATTATCTTGTCTGGCTATGAGATGACTCAGGTAAAGGTCTATGTTTCTGCCAGCTATTTTTGAAAAAAAAAACCTTTTCCTTGTCTGAAGAAATAACAGGCGGATGTGTGAAGGTCTGCTTATGCACTCAGCGGAAAGGTAAGTCATTTTCCGATGGGTGCCACTTCTGTCTGCAATGGGGGGTGGGTGGGAGGGAAAGAGGAGGTTTCATGCTTGGGGAGGGGGAAAGACCCTCAGAGGAAGGCCTTGGCTCCTGTGCCCTGTAATGTTGGCCATCCAGAGGAACTGGTTGGCCACTGCGTGAGACAAGATGCTGGACTAGATGGACCACTGGTCTGATCCAGCAGGGCTCTTCTTATGCTTGTAGATATCCAGCCTAAGGAGAAGTCTTACGCTGGACTCTTTTTCCTGATATGCTGGCTTTCTATGAGTGGGGAGTCTGTGACACATCAGACATTCAGGCATGCAACCCAAGGACCACCACTTGCAAAACAAAAAAGGTTAGGGGTTCCAACCTCCAGGTGGGGCCTAGAGATCTCATGGAATTACAACTGATTTCCACATGATAGAGACCTCGGCAGGTTACAATACCATAGAGTCCACCCGCCAAAGCATTCATTTTCTCCAGGGGAACTGATCTCTGTAGTCTGGAGAGGAGCTGTAATTCCAGGGGATCCCCAGGTCCCACCTGGAGGCTGGCACCCGTCTAGGTATAATGCCATAGGGTCCACCTTCCAAAGCAGCCATTTCCTCCATGAATTGGAAACCAGTTGTAATCCTGGGAGATCTCCAGCTCCCACCTGGAGACTGGCAACCCTACCCTGCTGGGAGAAGAGGATTTATTCACCGCCATGAAGTGATTCCTCATGTGGGACCCCTCCAAACACAAGACATGTAGGCCACACTTGGCACACACTTACTCTCCGTTGTGATTGAAGCTGTCATATTGTAGGAAGAGGGAAGCATAGATGGTCTCCGTCAGGAAGCAGTAGATGGCAATCATCAGGAGCAGCACCGCCAGTTTCAGGACGGAATTGAGACGAAGGAACACGGCGCAGGTCACCATGGCCAGGATACCGGTGAAGACGAAATACTTAAGACAGAGATTGGGGGGGGGGGGGGCACAAGCTTCCAATAGTCTGCCATGATGCAAATCACAACTACGTTGAGCTCATTCATTCACACCGGCCTTGCCTATGAACATTGGAAGCTTTGTTTTGCCCTGCATTTGGCTACCTGCTTTCACAGCAGACTCATTGCCATAGGAAAGAGCAAGAATCCAGTAGCACCTTAAAGAATAACACAATATGTGGCAGGGGATGAGCTTCTGTGAGTCACTTCTCACTTCTTCAAATACAGCTAGAACGGGAGTCCATCTGTCCTATTTATTGGAAAGTGAAGTGATTTCAGATGCTGAATGACATTAGCAGGCAAAGGACAAGAGCAGGTGAATGACAATAACAGGCATGACTGGATTTAGGTGAGAGATGCAGAGAGATAGTAGCCATGGAGAAATCAGCATTGGTAATGAGACAGGAAACCTAGGTCTTGATTCAGTCCAGGTGGATGCATTGTCTTGAGCTTCTTTATCAGTTGCAATTCAGTAGTCTCTTTCTAATCTCCCTTTGAAATTCCTTTGTCACTCTTGTAGGTCAATGGCTGGCTGCCACCCAGCTTACTGGCACTTTGGCTCAGTAGTGGAGTGTCTGCTCAGCATACAGAAGGTCCCAGGTTCAATCCCTGGCATCTCCAGTTAAAAGGATCAGTTGATGGGAGAGTCTTTCACCTGAGTTCCTATGAGGGAGTGACAGTTTGAGTAGACCAGGGGTCCCCAAAGTGATGCCTGTGGGCTTTTTGGCACCCCCCAATACTTTTCCTGGAGCCCACCAAGTGTTTTAGGAAGTGGGAAGGGCCATGTGGGGCTTTTACCCAGCAAGGCTTCTGATTGGTCACTAGAAATTTGATTGGCTGTGCAGATTTTTTTAAAAAGGTGCTTTGGCAGCAGCTGCCACCACTGTTCAAAGATCTTCACTGTGTGAATGAAAGTAAGCTGCGGCAGCCATTTTATGCTTGGCTCCACCTCCTGCAGCAGCTATTTTGTGGCAGCCATTTTGTGGCTGTGTCTATCTCCCTGTATCAGAATTCCAAAGGTGCTAAGAAGCGCAAAAAGGTTGGGGACCGCTGAAGTAGACCTTGATAGAATCAGGGGTCTCACTCAGTCCCATTTACAAATTACAGGGAACCCATGTACGAGCTGGCACTGTTCATTTGCTAATCGTAAGTGCATGTACATCCTGCATGTATAAAAGTATATCTGTTTGTAAGAAAAAGGCAATGTCCTTTCACCTTATGAAAGTTTCCCTTGCACATGTGGAAATGCTACCAGAAACATGGGACTCCTGAAGCCTCAAGGGCCTTCACAATGACTCCAAGTATTGTGACATGCCCACTGTTCCTCAATCCCCCCCCACTGAAAATGTCAACCTGTCTTCTCCCCCAGAGTTTTGAATCTAAGAACAGCTTGCGATGATGGATGCACTTCCAAAAGTCATCTGCTCAGACTTACCTCTGGGTAGGAGCAAATGTCTGTAAAAGATGAAGAAGAATTGAAAGTCTGATTCTCAAAGGGCATCCGTTTGTCAAAATCGCACCATAGCTGTGGACAGAGAGGGGAAAAACAGTTACTCCGGTGATATTTAAAACACATATGTTGTCCTGCTCAGTCCATTGAGATTCCCCTCCTAGAAGATCAGCCCTTGAGAACAGGATGGGGACAATGTAGGCGAACTGTCAAACATCACCCCCTCTCTCCACCAATGGAAAGGCACAAGAGGATACTGTGGCGTCCTTGCTTATAGGGGAAATGGTTCTACCTTTAAACATGCATTGGCCGCGAGCACACAGGCCCCAGGGGAGGAAAATGCGGGGGGGGGGGGAAGCTTGGCTGTTTGCCTTGGGGCAAAATAACGCACGTTTGCGCTAGCAGACGTACTGTGGAGGTCCCGTGGAGGTCCCGTGGTAGGGGGGAGGTACCGAGCACACCACAATCCTGCGCCGCGGCAAAGTAGTAGCGCAGTGCGGCAAATGGGTGTTTTTTTCTCCAGACACCAAAGTGTGTGCATGCCCCGTTGGGTGCTCGTGTGCATCCCATGGGCAGTTGGAAAAAAAAACTTTATACAAGGGGGCATGGGTGGGCGCCGGAACTACCACCAGAAACGCGATCAGACACCCGCCCTTGCCCCGCGGTTACCGGAAACTAGTACCTCTGAGGTACTAGTTTTTAACCGTGCATCTTCTGCGGGAAGCCTCGGGTTCTCCACGGGAGCTCTGCGCTTCCCAGATGTGGCGGTGAGATCGTGCCCGGAAAATCCACCTATCTTTCGTCTCTCTAGCGTGCCTAATGCTCCATGTGACCGCAGCCTTTGTGTACCTAAACTTCGTAGATTTATGCTGCCACCAGGAATTAAAAAATCCAAATCTCTCTCTCTGATGGTAGTATGACCTAGGGTCTGGGCACTTCAGAGGACTATGTGGCCATGAGGAAGTACTGTACTGATTTCTGGGATAAGTTTAAACAAAAAATGATTTATTTAATAAAGAGCGAAATACGTTTCTGGCTATTTTGAACTGTTGCTGAAGAAAAGAGCTTGTAAATATAACTGACAAAGCTTGGTGCCACAGTCTCTCAAACTCCACTCTGACAGGCTAATCTCTCTCTCATATATAGTCACATAGACTAAGATCTTTGTCTTAGGCACACAAGATAACACATTTGTCTAATCACCCAGTTTAGACACGACTTGTTTCTTTGCCATATAGACTCTCTCACAAAACTCTCAGAGTCACACAGACTCTCTTCAAAACTCTTCCACACTCAGAATTCTGTCATAAAACATCTCTCCTCTCACACTCTCAGTCATCAGCCAATCACAGGCCCCGGTCACACGGCAAAGTTGCCGCGGGAGAGGCACGGATGGTGGGCAGATTATCCGAGCGCGATCACACCCCAACACCTGGGAAGTGGAGCGCACCGGTGGCTTACCGCCGACAATGCGCCTTAAAAAACTAGTACCTCCAAGGTACTAGTAAACGTTTGCCATGGGCTGCCTCCAGACGCCTGTGATGTGATCGCGCCAGCGCGCAGCATTCCCCTCCGGTCCCTCGTTTACCCACCGGCGCCAAGGGAAGGACCCGTGGTGTGCTGCCGGCACGTCTGATCGCATAATCGCGCATCAAACAGCGCCAGGGCAATTAGCCATGACTCCCCCCAGCGATATCCGGCCTGTGTGACCGGGGCCACAGTACACTTATCTCCCCCTAATGCTCTCCTTACATTACTGCAGTCAAACTCAACATTTAAAGACACACACACACCAAAACATGGAATCATTACAGATACAAACTAGAATTGCCAGCCTGCAGGTGGGGCCTGGAGATCTCCCAGAATTACAAGACAACAGAGATCTGTTCCCCTAGAGAAAATAGTTACTTCAGAGGACAGACTATGGCATTATATCTCACTTTGATACCTTCCTTCCCCAAATCCCACCCTCCCCAGGTTCCACTCCCCAAATCTCCAGGAATTTCCCAACCCATCATTGGCAACCTTAATAATACAAACTGCAGCCTGTATGCTTTCACCAACTGAATTTCACATGGACAGCCCCCTTTTCTGCATAACAAAACAGACCCTCTCCATCTGGTTTACAGCAAAATAATTTTTTGGGAAAAAGCCACAAAACTACAAATCACTCATAAATCACCCCAGAGGCTATAAAAGGTAAAGCTGCCATCATCTTTTAAATAGCAATTAAGGCAGGACAGGACCAAGTTCTAAAAACCGCCAACAGTGAATTTACCAAATCATTCTTCACTTGAAGCCCTGCTGTGTCTGCCCCCAGCCTTAAGAGGTAGGTAGGTATAAGGGTGGTGTCTAACAGACAGGGCCTTCTCTGTGGTGACACCTCTGTCATGGATCACCCCTTTTCTATTCTATATCTTGCATCCAATGTAATGTTTCTTTTTGAGCATCAGGTTACAACTTTAGTCTTTTTTTGTCCCTTGTATACATGGCATAGCTGATGCTATTGCTGTTCCATCTCTGCTGTTTTTTAATCTGTAATGTTTTACTGCTATATTATCATGAGACTAGAATACAGCCAGTTTGGTGTAGTGGTTAGGTGTGCAGATTTTAATCTGGGAGAACCGGGTTTGATTCCCCGCTCCTCCACTTGCACCTGCTGGATGATCTTGGGTAAGCCATAGTTCTTTCAGGGCTGTTCTCTCAAGGACAATTCTAGAAAGAGCTCTCTCAGCCCCACCTACCTCACAGGGTGTCTGCTGAGGGGAGGGGAAGGGAAAGGAGTTAGTAAGCCGCTCTAAGACTCCGAGTGAAGGGGGGGCGCTAAATCCAATCTCCTCCTCCTCCTCCTCTTCTTCTTCTATTGGACCTCTCACCTGGCCGTCTCCCCCTCCTCCTCCTCCTCCTCCTCCTCCTCCTTGTAATTGGTCAATTGACTATTGCTATCATTTCATCATGTTACCGTCTCTTTTTATTTTATTCCTAAGGGATCTTTCATGTTGGTGTCTGTTTTTTAAGTCATATATGGGATTTTTAAAATTGAGATGTGTGTTAGAGAAACTTACAAAAAGGAACAAACAAATAACTAGTGTGGGCCTGGTTGATCTCCTTTGACATATCTCAGTGATGCCACCACTAACAAGGCCCTGTTCTAGTGGAGGATAATCTTCCTACAAAGCAACATATTCCTGATGGTCTTAATTGATAAGTGCTGGGCAAAAGGACTTTGTATCATGGACCTTGCATTTACAGATAAAAAAGATTATTGAAATTAGCTCAGAAACAAGTAGGGAACTAATTAAGTCTAGAGAATCAGCATTATCTGTGTCCCACTGAGACATCATGCTGTTCTGGATCAGCTGAAATGAACAAACTGGGTATTACTGTAGCTGAATTGAGATGTTATAAGGTGTACAAGATAGTGGCCGGATCCTCCTTCTCCAGAAAAGAACACAGTGGATATATCAGCCAAGCTGAAAGAACAGCCCCTGACCATTGTTAGCAGCTGGAAATCAAAGCAATGTCGGGTCAGAGAACATTCCAAAGCCGTGAACTTGCTACTAAAGGGGTGTTGCAATACCACGGCAAACGGGCATATTCCCTCCATTTATATCATTTGGGGATGCAACAGACCAGAATGTGAAAGTCATAAGGAGAAACCACTGCAGACTAATTGAATCTGTTGGGGAAAAAACACATTTAGAAGCAGTCCTGTTCTGTATAATAAGCCGGTCACTTCATTAGGTGGCATTCATGATTCTCTGACACTCTCCAAGACATAATTGAATGGTTTGCATTAACAGGTCTGACTCTATATAATGATTTCCAAAGGATGCTTCATCTGGCAACCCCGTTGCTTAGTCCTTTAAATACCCCCGTGATTGTAGCGAACCAGATGGGACCTGTGGGACGTTTGCAGGCTTCATGGTGTGACGTTATCGGTTTCTTAAATAGGCACTTTTTGGAGAGTGTGATGCGTATCTCAGCCAAGCTGCAGCTCTCTCATCAGCTAGGAATTGGTAAGCCAAGACGGTGTGATTCCCCCCCCCCCAATTCTGAACCAGGTTTAGCAGGGGGTTAGGCAGATTATGAAGGACAGGCATGTCACTGACATGATAGCCAAATGGAACCTCAGAGTTCACAGGTGTGGAGTCCTGTGAGCAAGAATTCTACTTTGTGGGCTACTGGCCTTAAAGCTGTGAGCAAGCGATTAGGCTGCTGCATAAATTAGTTTGCTCTGGAGCCATCCTTCCTGAGCTAAGGCAACAATGTGTGAGCCGGAGGCTAAAAAACTGAGAGCTAGCTCACACTAACTCAGCTTAGAGGGAACACTAATGCCTATAACTGTTAGATGACTGGGACCTATTAACAGAGGAAGACTGTGGGTCCCGCTTGTGGGCTTCTCTGCGGCATATAACTAGCTGCAGTTGTAAATAGGATGCTGGAGTTGACGGGTGACTGGTAGAGCTGCCAGTCTCAGCCTGGCCACCAGCAGGAGGGCTGAGGTGGGGACATGAAGGGGGTGTGACCTTGGTGACATCCCTGACAACCTAGAAGTGACAACAGGTAGCTCTAGGGTGTACCAGAAACCTCATGGTAAAAACCAGAAAGTCAAACTATAGAGTTTCTGGAAATTCCTAGAGTTACCCATTGACACTTCCTGGTTGTATCTGGAAGTGTCACACTGGTCCATGGTGATTTTTTTAAAAAAATTGTCTCCAGCTGATGCTAGTCCAACTGGCGGGAGGCCTCCTGCCATATTGGGAACCCTGGCAACCTTAACTGTTGGCCGGCTGCTTTTATAGTCTGATTAGAGTTTGGGAGGTTTGCTGACAAATATGGGTGGATATAATTGAGCTATTTGAAAATGCTTTAGGATGATCCTGCATTGAGCAGGGGGTTGGACTAGATGGCCTGTGTGGCCCCTTCCAGCTCTGTGATTCTATGATTCTAAAACAACCCCGAAGACAGCAATACTGGAAATCTCTTTCAGTGGCAGAAAGAGATGTTGTTGATGGATGCACTGGAAACCCTCTCTAGCCTGAAGCCAGAATAAAAATCAGTGAGCAGTAGATCATTCTAGGGTGATCTACTGCAATAACCATGCATTTAGGGCAGTGTTCCCTCTAAGCTGAGTTAGTGTGAGCTAACTCAGTTTTTTAGCCATGCCTTTAGGGCAGTGTTCCCTCTAAGCTGAGCTAGCTCACCGTTTTTTAGCATCCAGCTCACAGATTTTTGTCTTAGCTCAGGAAGGACGTCTCCAGAGCAAACGAATGTATGCAGTAGTCAAATCGCTTGCTCGCAACTTTAATGCCGGTAGCTCACAAAGTAGAATTTTCGCTCACAAGGCTCCACAGCTTAGAGGGAACATTGATTTAAGGTAACATCTAGTTTGGCTGTCTGAAGCAAAACCAAGTGTGAGTCGTTGTTGGTTTTTTTGCGTTTTGTGTGTGTGTGTATGTGTGGATAGGTGCTTGCGAGCCTGGATGTCATGGTGACTTCTGGTGACCCCTAGTGGGGCTAGGACATTTCAGAGAGGTGGCTTGCTATTGCCTGCCTCTGCCTCCCAGCCCTGGTATTCCTCGTGGGCACTCCATGAAATTGCTGAGCGGTCGGGTTAGAACGGATAAAAGGAAGTACTTCTTCACCCAAAGAGTGATTAACACTTGGAATTCACTGCCACAGGAAGAGGTGGTGGCTACAAGCATGGACGGCTTCAAAAAAGAATAAGATAAGCATCTGGAGCAGAGGTCCATCAGTGGCTATTAGCCACAAGGTATAGATAGGGGCTCTGGGGCAAGGGATGCCCTGTATTCTTGGTGCTTGGGGGGGGGAGGTCAACAGTGGGAGGGCTTCTAATGTCCTGGCCCCACTGCTGGACCTCCTGATGGCACCTGGTATTTCTGGCCACTGTGTGACACAGAGTGTTGGACGGGATGGGCCTTTGGCCTGATCCAACATTGGCTTCTCTTATGTTCTTATGTTCTTATGTTCTTGGAGGTCGCCCTTCCAAGTACTTGGCCAGGGTTGGCACTGCTAAGCTTCCGAGATCTGACCACAGAATTCAGAAGCTTTCCCTCTGCTGACTTGGATGCAATACAGACTTCCTGATCCTCTGGCTATAGCTGTTGTAGACATCACAGTTATGAGAGCATAGCGATAAATAAAGGCCTTCCAGTAATTTCATTCAATTATTTACACCCGCCCATGAGAAGCGAGATCTTCACGGACGACCGCAGGTGGCTTGAAGGCGAGTGGCACATTGAACGTACAAAAAGACACGCCGAATTTCTGTTAAAAACAGATCATCTTCATGAGGGACAGATCTGCCTCCCGTCGATCCCAAAGCCACCTCCGAGAGCAGACTGACTTCCCCGATGCTTGACAGCTTCGACTTCTCCCCCCTCTCCATTTAAATCCTCCTCGATTCCAAACTACATTTGTTTGCGGTGTCTGTTGCCGAGAAAACCGCCTGTCTTAATAATTCATGCATCCTTCCCCCCCCCGCTCCCTTTCCGCCCACTCTCTGCCCATCGGCGCATGGAGACTGACTGTTCTCTTGGTATGCTTACAATATTGATGATGGCTCCCAGGAAATTAATCATAATAGAGGCAAAGATGACGACGTTGCGGGCCAAGTAGGTCTCGTTAATCCAGCAGCAAGTTTTCCGGAGCACGAGGGGTAAACATTTGTAATCCTCGGCAGTGGTGATTAGCACAAGAGCCGAATGCAGCATAATCAAGATGGAGAACTGAATGACCATCGGAATCATCCTGTTGGAGAGAAAACATACAGACACTTTTATTTTTTTTTTATTTTTTATACAATAAATTTTATTGATATACAAAGAATAGCTGACAAAAAAGTGTACAAACATAGTTTGGTAAAGCAAAACAGTAACAAATAGTGTTCGTATGCATAACAGTCAAAGATTACTAACTGTAACTTGTGATCTTTGTAAATTACATATATAAAATATTAAGAAATAGAAGAACCAACTTAATGATTAAGAACGTAAACAAATACCTTTCAGTAGAAATAGGTAAGCAAACGTATGTACTGTTGCAAAACTTTGGTATAAATACAATGGTTACCAGAGATGTAAGGCATCAATTTCTTTAGGAGTGTCATCAAATTGTTGTAAGTATTCCAATATAGGAAACCAGATAGAAACAAAGGATGAGGAAGTTGGGATCTTGTCAAGTCGCGTAAGATTATCCGAGAGTTTAGCCATAATGTATAAATCCCACAATTTCTTATGCCATTGTGAAATTGAGGGCGTCATTGTTGTTTTCCAGTGAGTTGCAATGACTGTCTTGGCTGCAAATAGCAGTATGGAAACCCTCTCCACCACTGAAGGAGCAGAGTCCTGAGCTACCCAACTGTTCAAAAAGAGATTTTCCGGAGTGGAAGTGATGTCTATATTGTCTATGGATCTGATTTTTGTTATAATTTCTTCCCAGAATGGGAATATTTTAGGGCAAGTTACCCAACAGTGAAGATAGGTGCCTATATTGTTGCATTCTTTCCAACACTTTGGGTTATACGTCCGCGACATCCGTGCCAGTTTATT